GGCGCGAGGGAAAACGCATCAATCGTCGTTGACGAGTTTCGGCTTCTTGGGTTCGACGTCATCCTGAAAGCAGAGAAAATGATGACAGCGGGTTAGTCAGTTAGTTAGCTGGCAAGCTTGTGGCCTGATCGGTCACTTGCTTGCATCAATGTCTCACCTCCTCATCCTCCTCGTCCTCCTCAGCTGCCCGTTTTGTGCCGCCCTCTGCCTCATCTTCATCCTCCTCTTCGTCTTCCTCTTCGCCTGCAGGCCCAAGATTGAGCACAATAAGATTCGTGTACATTTTGTCAAGTGACATAACATACAAACAAAAACAACACCCTATTAGCTACCTTCTCCATCATCTTCCTCATCCTCCTCGTCCACCTCCTCCTCTTCCTCATCATCTACCTCGGGGTCACCGTTCTCCTCATTCTCCTGCAGATAACAGAACAGTTCACTGTGGCTGTATTTGTAAAGCTATGTGGATTAGAACTTGAAAATGTAGAGTTACGAGGACTGAGTGCACCCCAGGAGAGACATCGGAGGCCCATGCAGAGAGACTTGCGGCCATGAAGTTACCTTTCCGTTGGTGGCAGCATCCCTGCCGTTCTCCTTCTCCTCCACCAGCTTCTTCTCCTTCAAGTCCTGAAAGAACAAATATTTGAAACAAAAATAGTCATAAAGCAGTTTCAGGTGCAGCTGGTTTGTTAGTGTGTCTCCTGGCTGCTGCTACCTGCCCTCCCACCGAACGGCCTAGTTACAGCCCCAGTGCATGATGGGAGCTGCAGTATCCAGCCTTCTGAATGAATCCTTCCTATTTAAACACCATACTGGTCTCTGCAGATCCTCCCTCCGCCCTCCTCCTCCCACTCCATCCCCTCTAATGTGTTGTAATCTGATACTTTGATGTGGTCCCCGGGGCACCCTGGGTATTGTAGTCTTCTGCGCGCTGCCGTCCCCACCATATGTCACGAGACACGCCCGGGAGAGACACTGCAATACCCAGGATGCACCGTTCCATTTAAAATAACACAGGAGGGAGCAGGGGATGGAGGAGGGCGGTGGTGATGGAGGAGGAGGAGGCTACGCGCGCGACGCACGCTGCTGCTGGCCTTTCGTTGTAACTGAGGACAATAGAAGAGGACACATGGCAGGCGAGAAAACGGCACGGAAAGAAAAAATAAAGCGGCACGGCGGGACCGAAGCACGCAAACACACCGTCACAAGCACGCACCTTGATTTCTGCTCCACACTTCCACCGGAAAACCACCCGACAAGCCTATTAATAGCGCTCGTTTCCTCGTTTTGTCGTCCCTTCACAGCCTGTTACCCCACATCCAGCACATACATCGTTAATGATTGATTGCTTCACATAATCTCACTGGTTCAAATCCATTAAGATGGTTGGGAGAATCGGTGACTCCTTGGCAGGAGACAAATGAGGCTAGAAGGAGCTCGCTGGCTCCGCGCACTTACTCATCGACTGTGCGTAAAAAGGCGCTTGTGCGTAAAAATGCTCAACTACTATAAATAGAGGCTGAACGGGCACCCCAGCTTATCAGCGTTGGTGCCAGACCCCAACTTTTCCCTTTTCATATTCATTTATTATAATCACTCATAACTGTTCAGTTCCGCGGCTCTTATTATCTCAAGACTGAATCCTATTCTGCTTACGGCTGGCCGCGGAGACCCGACTCCCCCTGCGGGGGCTATTAAACTTTTACTCAATCTGATCCAAAGTCCAACTGGATGGAAATTAACATTTAGCCCAAACGGCGATGGAGCGCAAAGAGGGGAAAGTCAGCACCGTAACATCACACCTCCACAGCCCAGCCACACAGCACACAGGCGCGCGCAAAGAGAGAAGTGGGCTGCATTACCAAAAAAGAAAGAAAAACTTTCCCCTGAGACACAAACGCGCCCTGCGAACAAGCTCCAGACACGCGGGGGAAGCGGAAGCCGTGGCGCGCTGTGTGTGTGACAGAAGCTCTCCGGTCGGGAGGCGAAAAAAGTGCCACCAGCCGCCGACCTTCCGAAGTCAGTAAACAAACTGGGACGGGTGCGTGCAGTCAGGCCCGCCGGTGCCTTTTAAAAACACGACCACACACAATCAAAAAACAATGTGAAAGGCTGGAAGCGGAGCTCCGAAAGTTGCCATTAGTGTGAATTACGCACCGCCTGGCTGCCTCCGTCTCCATTCAAACGGACCAACTTCACACTTCAACCCAGCCGAGAGCCTCAGAAATCCCGTTCACTCCTCAGCTCATTATCACTCTATTACTACAACCAATTGGGATAACAGCGGTTCTACTGAACTGGAACCGGAATTTGCCCGGGAATTAATTCACATCAAGCAGCCTACAGGATGTGGAATAAATGTGTGAATATACGCGTCAGTCCCGGGTCCAGAGTCGCGGATACAGATCCCAAATACCAGTTCGATGTGTGTTGGAGCGACTGGTGTTTACGGGTGTATTTGCGCGAGGAGAACCGAGCCGCCTGTATAAACAAAGAACCCGCGCCGACTCTCGGACAATGAGACACGGCGCTGGAAACGCAGTATTCTCATGATGCGGTGCCGAGACCCCCGCTCCGTTCTAATGAGAGTTCTTACAAAAAGATGTGAACACCGGCTTTCTCTCCTCTTTAACCCTCCTCCGGTTTCTCGGGCAGGCTCCGGCGCAGAGTCCGATTGAGCGCGAAGCGACGACGGAGATGTTTCTCAAAAATCTAGGTTACAGCCTGGAAACGCTGTATTCTGCTGAGGGGCTCCACGAGAAAGGGAGCAGTGAAGCTGTGAGGCGGCTTACCTTGGAAGAGATACCCGAGCTGGTGTCATGTTGTGTGTCTGCCATTGTTTAAGTTGAATAAAATAAAGGACGGCTGAAATGAAAGGTTGAATAAAGTAAATCCCTTCCCTCGCTTCTCGGATCAATTGGTATTATACAGTGCCAGTGGCCAATGCTGCTGACGGCCGAGCCTTTAATATAGGCTTGTGGGCGGAGATTAGAGGAGGGCTGCGCCTGCTAATTGGCTAAAGGCTCCACAGAGGTGTTCTCTCCGCGTGGTGGAGTGGAACAATGGATAGAATTTCTAAACCCGTAGGCCACGCCCCCTCCCGTTCTGCCGCTGCAACCGTCCTTTCTCCATTTTAACAATAATCCGACTCGATTAAAGCCGGCTGGCGGACTCATTCTTCGACGTTACATTCTTTTTGCCACCGTCACACTGAGAAACATCAAGTTTACACCGTGTTACGCACTAAATATATCGAGAAGATAGCGCTTGGTTGACGTATTGTCACAGCTTGATTGATTGATGTTCATCTGGTCGAGTCAAGCGGCGGCTACAGACCGCTTCTCCCGCCCACCGACGCGACGAGGGAATAGAGGCGAAATATTTAGAAAACAGGATGAATGTCGACAACATGGACCGTATTTGTGCATTTTATAACGTTACGATCACCTGTTCTGCCGCTAACGTGATATGAGCGCTATCAATGAGTTAAATATATGGAGAATGTTAATGTGGAGCACCGCCACCATGTCTCATCACAGCCCTCGATCGTCCACTGCTCGCCCCTCCCCTTCCCAGCGTCCATGTTTGAAACTCTCTCACTCATCTATGTGCGCACTTGACACGCTTTATTCCTTGCACATAACAACCCGTAAATTCATGCCTCAAGGTCGATTCACAAATAAACACACAATTTTTGTCGAACATCATACACAGGCAACACTTTGATACTGTTTTTAAGTGTGTACGGGCTTGTTCGGTGAGCGGCTGCAGTACAGTGCTGGTGGCCTAATTTCCTCTATCGCCATTGTTAGAGCCCACAGAGAAATGCCCCATCGTGGAGGAGGGAAAAAAGCAGTGCGACATAACAGACATGCGATAACACAAGTGCGAAAAATAATTATAATATGCTCATGAACTGACGCGCATTCTTAGGAAACACGAGGGCAAACACGTATTTTTCCTTACCCAGTTTTGTAAACATGGCTTTTATAAGGTGAACATGAGAAGGACAAAGCAGCAAAACCAGCCGCCATTACTCGCCCAAGATGGGGGATGGGAGCAGAGCGGCCCGTCTCCGGCAGCCCACATTCACATTCTGCTCTGATGACGCACTCAGCCGCAGAGGACGACACTGATTGGTCGGAAAAGTGGAATAACACGGCTTTGGCGCATGGCGAAAAGTGATTGGCTGTCGCGGACGTCCATAACTTCAAATTGGACTCCGTCGGTGCGCTGTAAACCACGGGTCCGGTCGCTGGATCCGGACTAGGCTGTGTGGAGCATCAGTTTAGAGTTTCACTTCAGTCTTTTACATACATTTGCTGCCGCGGAAACGCGCCTTTTACCGCCATGATCTCTGAGAACAACATTCATTATGTGTAATTGTTTGCAAGAGCCGACCTCTTCATGTTTCAGTTAGCTGTATTATAAAATATTTAACCAGGAATCAGAGAGAGCAGTGCCAGCAGTAAGCGATCCTTCAGGAACCAAACTCTGTTTCCCAGCTGCATCCCTCTAACCGTGTTTTGACTGTGTGATACAATTCACACTGGAAAATTAACTAAGGCAAGCATATTTTAAACAGCCAGGATGCACAATACAACTGCATTAATTCTAAGTTTGCTGCTGCAGCCAGCATAATGCTAACACAAGCGATATGGATGCATGGACGGATTACGGCACAGTGGGCCCCTGGGCATAGAGATGTAAACCCCCCAAGAGAGAAGCAATACAGACTGACAGAGACATGTTTTATTTATCTTTACAACTATTTTTCATGTTTCTGAAGATGTTTTGTAGCTCTCTGTGGTCTTCTTGTATGTCTTCACAGTCATGTTGTATCTCCTAGCATGTCTCTGGGCATTTTGCATCCTCCTGTAGTTGCTAGTAGAGTGTGGATACCCAAACCGAGCCCAAAGAGACCTGATGGGCTTGGGCTGGGCTCAGACAGAAATTTAGAAATTATGTGCTGGTCTGGATCGGGTTCAGACATGTAGGTCAAACCTTGGCTAGAAGGTCGGAGCACTCAAATATCTGCTTCGTTTAATGGTAAGAACACAGTACAAATTCATGTTGGGTTTGGACATTATATAATATAAGCTCATCAGGTCCGGGTCATGTTTGAACACCACACTCTCGGACACGGGTCGAGTTCAGATAGAAATATGCTGCCCGATCCATGCTGTAGTTGCTAATGTTTCTTTGCAGACATTTGAGTCATTCTGAGAACATTTTGCAACTCTTTATTGGCATTTGGGATATCTTGTGTCTCATATAAGCTTTTTTTTTTTTTTTTTTTTTTGTCAATGAGCTCCATTGGCCCCATACCCCTTGGGCTGTGGGGCCTGGGGCCTGGGGCCTGTGCCTGGTCAGCCTGTTCAGCAATCCATCCACCCATAAAAGAGCTGCTCACAGCTGAAAACATTTTTACAGGTTTGTGTGAGTTTAAAAAAAATGAAAGTTGACATGTGGTTCCTGATATGACTTTGATTACAAAAACATAGGGCCAAGTAGTTTTTTTTTATGCTGACATAATGCATTGTCGCTGTCACAGGTTTTGCTTCTGCTTCCACTGGTCTCTGGTCTCTTTGAGAACAAAGTCCTGGAACAAAATTTGTGTGGTAACGCTAGGGGTCAGTTTATGGTCTCTCAGAGCCAGGTCTTTAGATGTCCTGTCAGACTATGTAGGAAATCAGTGTGTGTGTTTATATTGGTAGTGTGAAAAGCAGCAGATGCACTATCGTTTAACAACAGATTCAGTGTTGACCTCAGCTGTTCTCATGAGAATTGACAGGAATAGTTCTGAAGAAGGAAAAACTCAGTCTTTAGTTATATCCGACAAGCAGTTCGGAGAAAGTATAACTAAAACCTTTGCTCCAGGAAGTGTAACGGGGGCCTGATGGCAGTGCTATCGATCTTGATCACAACAGGGATGACTACAACATACTCAGCATCTTGCAGAAACACAGCCAAGCACTGCAGGGAAAAATGTAAAAACATGAATTGAGATTCTAGAATAATAAAGTCTCACAGTGGTCCCATGAGCAAACCTGAAAAAGACAAAGCTGTTTGAGGTAAATGTGGCCAGTTTGAGCTGCTTACTGGCCTGTGTTAACCCTCGATGAAGCATAAATATGAGAGAATATAAATAACAGTATCAGCAACACGTGTTTCATTGTTTTCTGCTACACAACCATGGACATCACTCTACCAAACAGCAACCAAAATTCATGTAGTCAACCCCTGTTGCCTTTTAAATGATGCAGCCTGTATCTGAAATGCAGTTTACAAAAGCTTCACAAAGTTCTTAAAAGTTCCCGTAGTGAGGGGGGACAAACATGGCCCAGCAGTGGCCTGAATCTGGCCCAGGGTGATTCTTGATGCAGAACCAACTTGAGTACATTGGTTCAATCCTGGATATCAAAACAAATCTATCAGCGTTATATGGGCCAGCGCCGCCTGCCAATGCTGGATCACCAGCTGGGCCCCAGACCCAGAGGGGCCCCTATAGCCCCAGGTTCTCTGTGTGTCAATGGGTTTCACAGAATTGGATTAACTGCAGATTTGTTTAGGATTTGCACCACTGAAGTTCAGTATCAACTAAGACATATACTTATTCTCACGGCCTCGAGACCGGAGTTATTTCAGTTATAACTGGGACCAGACCGTTCCTGCTCTGAGGATTCATAATAAGTTAAGCTGGCAGGCATTTGGTCCTCCAGTGTCACAATACAGCTGAGTGAGATGTTGTTCAGCTGCTCTCTCTCACCAAAGTACAGTTATTAATTTGCATATTAGCTGCCAAAACAAAGCATTGTCAACACATGCATTTTGGTTTACTTTTACATTTTGGTTTACATGCTGGTTTACTGTTTGCACATTGAGAGCTGATGTGCCTGAGTCAAATTCCTCGTGTGTCCATCACACCTGGCCAATAAAGCTGATTCTGATTCTGATTTTGTTTATACATGACGTTATTAGTACTGCCTATGTAGTGCAGGGTACTGGGACAACCCTGAATTAAATACATGAAACTGCTTTTGGCAAGACTAAGTTGATTTATAGGCATAACTGTACACAGACATCTGAAAATAATAATATAATCACATGTGAACATCTCCATTAAGAACGAGAACTGTATCATATGACCCTACCATTATCTCACAGGAGGAACAGTAGGACAGAAAAATCACACAAATCACAAACAACACAGTCACAGTACAGGTACTGGGACTTAGAGACATTTAAGTTTGAACTACAAAAATAAAACTGACTTTTGACATGAACAGTTTTCTTCATATGTTAAATATGAGCTATCTGAGGGGACACATGCACTTTGAACAGCAGGACAGCGGCGGTAAATGTATGTTTGAGATGTGATATTGGTTGCATTGAAAAAAAAATGGAAACATGATGGTGAGCTGAACCAACAAGGAAAAACATGATGAGTTAATTGGTGCAGTAATTTATTTTAAAAAGTTCACTCATTTATATCTAGTTTCTTTTTATATTGCCTTATCATTTTATTAATATCTTGTTTTAAAGCCTTTATTTCTTGCGTAAAACACTCTGAGTTACCTTGTAGCTGAATGATGCTATGCAAATAAAGCTGTGTTTTTCTTTAAATCAGAGATGAAGATCAAAGTCACACTATGACCACTGACAAGGAATGACTCATAAAACATCAGCTCGGGTGCAGCTGAATAAAACTAAATCTCCTCTCTGGAAACTGAACAATACAGGTTTAATCTCTTATTTTCTGTTGGCAGCACAAAAACTCAGAATCAATGGGTTGAACTTTGTTTTGCATCTCGTCTCAGTGTAAAGTTCTCCACTGACTAGTGCTCAAACTGGAGTTTAAATATCTGGAGCCTCAGCCCTAACACTAATCTAGGGTTAGAGGTAATCCAGCCTGTGCGACTCACCCTGTAGGGGAATCATCCGGTGTGCATGAGCAGACGCTGCTCAAACAAGACAAAGGACACTTCAGGTTGGTTCTGTTGCTGGGTCTTGCTGCTCTGCGACTGACATTCAGCTTCTCTCTCCATAACTGAGAGCTCACTAGCAGGAAACCAGATCAATAAGAAGGAGAGATGCTGCAGATAAAGGCTTTCTGGTGACTAACCAGTAACATCCAGCATGCAGCCAACATGTCTGAACCTGCAGCAGCCAGTAGTTCAGATCAGGGTGTCTGCAGCTTTCTCAGATACAACTAGTGCCTTAGACATTTCCCTCTGCAGCTAAATATAAAGAAATACACTGAAACAGTTTTAGTCAAAACATGCAGAAAGTTTCAATGACTGTTGGATCTTCTAAAGAATTTGAAGATGCTCTCATTTGTTGAGAG